AAGTGTTAGGGCTACATGGCCCTCCAAACGGAGGTTTTTCAGAGACGCACTCTAAACGCAGTGTTATGAGGAAAAAGAGAAACCGGCAAGATGGCTGCGCGAGCGGCCAAAGAAACCACAAAAGTGAGAATTTTCTCTGTTAAAAATTACGATAACCATTGTATTATCTTAGTTTAATGTAGTTTCAATGTATTATCACCCTTTTCTTTATAACAAGCGTAAAAAATCGCTAGCAGTATGCTGATGTCTCAGTAGCTAGCTAGCTAAATTTACCCGTTCCACCTTAAATGGTGCAGCCGTTACATTCTGGTGCCTGAGGCCAAGAAGCTAGCGAACAAGAAGCTGGCGAATAGCTGACTTCAGCTTCATATCACCAAAGAATTAGGGGTGGGCAATATAAATAATTGCCCCCCCCTCCTTGAAGGCCTGAGATGATGCCCTAAATGTAACTAAAGCCCAGCAGTGAGGTTGCTGAACTTTACCCTCCCCTGCTGTCACTGCAGACTGGCAGGGTTGCCTACAGAGCAGCGCTGGTAGCTGTTAATGACGTAATGTTCTTCTATATTTGAGGGTCCCAATTCATAGGGAAGATTTCAACCACTACCCCTTGAAACTCAGTTACAAGGGGCAAGGTGACACTCGAAAACAAGGGATATGGGACAGTAATGCTTTATTATTAGTCTTTTCTCAGCAGTGTGCCACCCTAATAAAATCTTTTTAGAATGGCTTTTTAGAAGAAGCTCTAGCCACGCCCCCTGACGTCACCGGTCAGAACAGCGGAGAGCTGACACGTGGGCTGACTCTGAATCAAATCTAGTTCTGTAAAATGAATCAATCTCAGTAAAGAAGAGAGACACTCTACTAGCTAATAGGCTTCCTTTAGTTCTTTAAGTTCTGGCTCGTTCATTTACACTGATAACTCAGCGGGTCAGTGAGACGCACAGGCGGAGACGAGCCGCTGATATTAGAAATTAAACGCTTCGTGTGGCTGAATAATTCATGAGCTCCGTCTGAACCGCTGTCAGGGCGGGACTTCCTCTTCAGACAGCGCCTACAAAGCCAAGGTAGGTGGAGAGAGCAGAGAAAGGAGCGCGTCTGGGCTGAAACCATTCAGTGAGGCGAATTATTTAAAGGGCAACTCCACCGATTTTGCAAAATCACTTAATCATTCAATCATGCAATTTAATCATTCAATTCACACAAAATCATTCAGAGCGGTTCGGTGTGAAACGCACCTTTCTGGAGAAATTTACAGAGTCAGAATTGTCCACCATTGTAGTACTAGGAACCAGACATCCGAAGCATTTAATGGCTCTAAAAGGCACATCCCGCTAAGTTATTACATGAAATGGTTATAAATGCGTTGCTTGATACTGGAGACATTGTTTTGTGATAGCTTTGTCATAAAGTTTTGGCCTAAAACGTATTTTAGTGGAAACTGTTACTCCAGGATTTCTTCCTCGTTTCCTCTCAAAACTGCATTCTGAACTGAGATCGATGCGCGAGCTAACATGCTTTTGTTGTTACTAGCCTGTAGCTACAGCCAGCAGCAGCTTTTGTTTACTTTTTTACAGTTTTCTTACCTATTTTGGAAAATGGCAGAGTATGTGGAAGACTTTGAGGAGGTCTGTTTCAAACATGTCCTAAAGCCCTATCAATTTGAACCAGAACACACAAATGAGTTGCAGCGGCATGAAGAAGAGAGAAAGAGCCAAAATAGAGAAAGCAACTGAACCCGCCGACGCCAGAACAACCCAGGGTGAATGGAAACTGGTGGTGAAAACAACAAGCTACATGCTACTCTGCTTACAAGGTCGCAAGTTATTTTATTTTGTGGCCTACTTTAGACAGTCAGTAAGCTAAAGGCTAACACTGACATATGCATGGTGGCTAACAATGACTAATTTATTTCACTCACAACGTTTCTTACCTTGATTCCGGTTCCTGTGGTGGAAAATACAACACAAGGAGCAGCAGTTTTCTTTAGCATTTAAAGAAATTGGCTTTGCAGTTTTTACTGGTCTTGAGTAGCCTTCATCATTGAAGTGGCCACTACAAACCCCGAGTTTGAAGAGTTGTTCAACTTTATATTTGTGTGTAGCTTCAAAACAATGAGCCACAACTTCAGGATTTCTGGTATTTGCTATAAGCTTAACCAGACTGAATCACTAATTCTGCAGGTTTCACAAACTGTTGAACTCGTGTAAAACTGTAATATAACAAGAAGGTCGATGGTGGTTTTAACCCCAGATGTTATGGAGAAGAGTTCATGACTACAGTGGAAAAGCGTGAAATGCAATGCATAAAGTGTTGGGCAAAATACTTTGGAAAAGTAGTGATGGGTGACACTGTCTTAAATGTATTCAGTAATGTATTCCACTACAATATAAAACGTAAAATATTCAGTATACATGTGGAATACATTTACATCCATCTTGATAAGGAACGTGGAAAAAAAAACTTTTTTGCTTAATTCACACTGTTTTTTGCTGCTACTTGTTGGCAGTTTTCTTCATGTAATACATTTCATGAAAAATTCCTTACCATTTTTTAAATAAAAGTAACTTTTTTCCCTCTCTTACCACCTGCTTTTGTCCACTGCTGCTCTGACAATCGCCCAGTCCAGTGCAACACTGATGCTGAATTTACCACTCACAAACATATATCCACTACTGAGATTATTAGTTCGATCATCCCTCAAAAGACCTCAGTAACACTGAGATTAATAACTGATCATCACATTGATTTATCAGTCTACTCAGGCTTTAGCAGAGATCAGTAACACTGAGATTAATAACTGATCATCACATTGATTTATCAGTCTACTCAGACTTTAGCAGAGCTCAGTAACACTGAGATTAATAACTGATCATCACATTGATTTATCAGTCTACTCAGACTTTAGCAGAGATCAGTAACACTGAGATTAATAACTGATCATCACATTGATTATCAGTCTACTCAGGCTTTAGCAGAACTCAGTAACACTGAGAGTAATAACTGATCATCACATTGATTTATCAGTCTACTCAGGCTTTAGCAGAGCTCAGTAACACTGAGATTAATAACTGATCGTCACATTGATTTATCAGTCTACTCAGGCTTTAGCAGAGCTCAGTAACACTGAGATTAATAACTGATCACATTGATTTATCAGTCTACTCAGGCTTTAGCAGAGCTCAGTAACACTGAGATTAATAACTGATCGTCACATTGATTTATCAGTCTACTCAGGCTTTAGCAGAGCTCAGTAACACTGAGATTAATAACTGATCACATTGATTTATCAGTCTACTCAGGCTTTAGCAGAGCTCAGTAACGCTGAGATTAATAACTGATCATCACATTGATTATCAATCTACTCAGGCTTTAGCAGAGCTCAGTAACACTGAGATTAATAACTGATCACATTGATTTATCAGTCTACTCAGGCTTTAGCAGAGCTCAGTAACACTGAGATTAATAACTGATCAATACATTGATTTATCAGTCTACTCAGGCTTTAGCAGGAACTTCAGTGTTTGTTAAGAAGCAATTAATTGAATTCCTCTTTAGAATTCGTCTAAGAAACATCTTTGCTACATGTTGTGCACTGATTTTAAATTGAATTTTTTTTTTTACTTTGGGTAAGTATTCTAAAAGTATTTTGCTAAAAATGTAAAAAGTAACTTTATTCTGAATGCTGACTTTACAAAAGTGTTACTTGGACCGAATGCAATTCACTATACTTGTATTCCGTTATATCCCAACCCTGAGGTTCTTTTACTTTTCATTTTGGCACATTTTCTAAATGTTACTGTTTCGATTTCAATTTAATGAGGCAAATACAAGTACAAAAAAGAAGTCAGGCAACGTGTAGCAGAGGTTTTGCTTTTCATTTTCGCACGTCACTATGGAAAAACAATGTCATGTGCATTATATTTCACTGTTTTCACTGTTACGACTGCATTTCGGTGAGGCAAATCTGTTTAAAGTACTGCATGCTGTAAAGCAATATAGCCATGCCTCCATTACATTTCAAGGTGAATTATATTAAATTCTGACACAAAATCTGCATATCATTTTTAAATGCAAATCCTCATGTGTTGCTTTTCAGTAATGCAATAAAGCAATGTAAAACAATGTGGCATGTATTCTGCATGTCACCATGGAATAGTAATGTCATATATGCATTGCATTTCATGTTTGTCCACTGTAATGATCACTTTACAATTTGGCACAAATTCCCCTCTATAAATATATAAAAGGCAAAACTAAGGCAATAAAATCTGCAGAGTTTCTAATTCATTGCTGGATATGATGATCCTGAGAGGATGCTAATGGGGCTGCTAGCAGGGTGACTAAAGCTGAGGTACGTCACAGGCTAATGGACAGTGACTTGTAGCGATTTGAGGGGAATAGATTAGCATATTGTGTCAGTGATGAAGCCCAGTTTTTTTTACTTCTAAAGTGGGTTCCACATTTTTTTTTTAAATTTCTGCATAATTAAAAAGTTCAGAGTGTTTTGATGTGAAATGCTCACCAGGTCAGAACTGTTCACACTGGTGGTGACAGAAACCAGACGTATGAAGAGTTTAATGCCTCTGAAAGCTCGTTCACAGTAAGTTATTACAAGAAATCGTGAAGAACATGTTGCCTGACGCCTCAAACATTGTTTTACGATACTTTTGAGAGAAGGTTTTGGATTAAAATGCATTTTTAAATCCATCATTCATGGCGGAGGAGTACATCTAGGCTGTTAGAAGGCAAAATAGTACACAAATCTTTTTCTTTTCAGATTTATCACTTTTACTATGATCAATATTACCTATAAAAACCTCAGAAGACACGTGTAGGTTGACTGGTCATTTTTGTGGTGGGCTGACCATATTGCTATACTAGTAAGTGTTAATGGGCCCATATCATGGTAAAGTGAAATTTCTTTGCCTTTTTTAAATAAAAGTTTTTAATGTAGTGCAGGAATATTGATAAAGTTTCAAAATGTACTGTTCATCCCACAGTCCATATGAATTCATTGTTTTTGTGATGTCATAAAAACCAAACATTTACATCTGTTTAGCCACCAGCAGTTGAGCTCCGCCCATTCACAATGAAGTTACAAGGAGTGTTGCAGCCCAGACTGCATCTCAAAAGAGGCACAATACATGACAGCCTACCAGGAGGTGATTTACATACATCAGTCTTAAAGGCACAGTAAGAAAAACAGCTTGTTTAATACTAAGCGATAAAGACAGGTTGGAAAATAATCATGAAAAAATTAATTATTTTTTTGGTACACAAAACCACTCAATTGTTAGAAGTAGCCTTCAGGGGAAATAAATGAAATACAAGAAAAAAGTACTGAATATGGTAAAAATCTCAGTCTTTCCCTCACAAAAATTATAAGTAGACCAGTGGTTTGTAGTGTTTATTTTATTTTGTTCTGTGACAGTTGCACAGATTAAATAATTGCCTACCTTATCAAAGCAGAAATACAGTTTTGTGTTGAGGTTACAGTGCTTTCTGAATATAAGCTACCAACAGGCAATAGCAAATTCCAAGACTTGTAGAGTTAAACATGTTAGATGGAAATAAGATGCGCCTATAGGATATTAAACTGCTCTGTATTAAAACCACAGGTTTTCTAAGGCAATTTTTGGCTCATGGTGAACCCAGTCCAGTGGATTCCTGCTTTTTCAGATGTATGCACAGCTCAACAGGTGTCTAGTGCATTGATTTCTGGGTATATACAGCACTACAAATGTGATAAGACACCTGACGTGAGTTAGAAGACATGGGAAGAACTGATTAATATAGACACAGCTGTAAAAATGAGACTACTTGTAATGCCTCAAACCTTTCAAAGCATGACTGCTGCAAAACTTAGTTGTTGGCTGAATTTCTGGCAAATTGCTGTTGTCAACAAGCTCCAAAAAAGCTTATTTTTAGACCTCCACCTCCTGTGATACTGCTGATAGTTGTGATAGAACACAGTGTGAGGTTGGAAAGCACATCAGAGGTACTTACAAAGGAGATCCAAAATTATGTGACCTTCAGAAGTGTCTCAAAATGAATGTTGAAAGTTGCCCAGGTTATGTGGGGACTCTTGGTTTCTTTAGGTCAGAGCGAAGAAGCCGAACCTCTTGATACATCCCCACTGATTCTTGATGATTACAACGCCTCCTTTCCCAAATTAAACTGGTAAACTCCATTAGCAGCCACCATAAAAATGGGCTCCATGACTACCAGTGATGCTAAACATAGTAATTACAGCTTTGCAATGCAATTTTTTCTGTTGGCCTTTTCATTTCCTGACTATTGACCCTTGCATTTAGAGCCACTGCCAGTGTTTTAAAGGATACATTGATGCCAAGCCGTGAAATATCGACTGTGGCCTAAAACACCCGAAATAAGCAGCCTGTGATGCTTTAGTATTCATTACGAACAGGTTTACTACTTAATGTGGAAACTTGAGGCATTTTCGTTTCATATTCACATACTCATCTGAGAGGGGACACTGTGCTCCATCGAAGCATAAAAGCGGGAATGCCGTGTTTTTCCAGACACATTTGGATTAACTTCGCTCACATTATGGCAATTCTGATCATAGAAAAAAGATTAACAAAATAAACTTGCTAAATGTATATCATATTCTCCGCATAAAAAATATGTTGACAATATGGGACTAAAATTTATACACTGGTTCTTTTGGTTACGAGAATTCAAGATGTAGGTTCCAGGAGCAACAGTCTTCTAAAAATCTTTTCACATATTTGACTGTGTGATCAATAAAAAAACAACAGGAAGAAAACAGCCAGAAATTATTCATCAAATATAAACAAATGATCAAGTGGACAGAAGACTTCTCTAGCTGGCTTTCACCCCTCCGTGTAGACACAGGAAAGCTGACTCGGGCATCGATCCACACTGCGTATGTAAAGGTAGTTGTCCTCTGAGACTGAAGTGTCCCGATCCTCCAAGGCATCCTTCGATATAGTCTGCTGATCCAACACTGCAGTCACAGACATACATTTCGAGTCACAGGTTGTTTATATGTTCAGAATATCTGTGATTTGTTTGCTAAGGATGTGCATTTTGACAAAATTTAATATTTGACTGGATTGAACCTATAATAAAAATATTGGTCAGTATGTATAATAAAAAAAAACTATCTTCCGATCTTGCTGAGACATTCTATGAGTGCTGATTTCTCCCAATAACACTGCTAGCCTGCAGTGTTATATGTGTAGATCAATGTTAAATATGTTCTCTCAAACTATTAGGTGTTGGCGGTATTGTAGTTTGTTTACATTTTGTCTAGACGACATTTTAGAATGCATCAATACCATTTTTTTCAAACTAAGTATGAGTAAGTTTTTGGTACTTGTCGCTACTGAGTCTGATACCATACTGAACTAACCTACCTATTTAGAATTAAGTAGTTGTTAGTGCAAATGGGTACAACCTAACTTAACAGTTAAATAATTAAAATCTAGCTGATTTTGAATAAAGTGCATTAGCTAGCTGTGCTACATTAGTTACCTTGGATTGAGCAGTGCTGCAGTGGAGAAGAGTGGGTTTTGTTCTCCATCAGAACAGCCCCTCTGTACAGCTGTAAGTAAAGTATGTTTCATAGTTTTGATCTTCATTTGTCTCTTTCAACAACAGTCTCTGTAGCACAGCAACAGCAATAATCTCATCCTAGGCTAATGTGAGGAGCTCATGTTTCGTGTTGTAATATTTTTATATTCACAGACTCACACTGTATGAAACTCTCGGTCCAACTGACATGCTATTTGAAACACAGTCTCTACAGACCGCTTTGTCTATGGACAGTTTTAAATAAAGCTGTTTCATTCAAAACAATTACTACTGAGTATTGAGCAAACACGCTGAGAAACTGAGCAGCTCAGCTAACCACATTTTACTGCCTTGTACACGGTAGGACAATACAGTCTCTCTAGAGCCTATTGTAGACAGGTTAAAAAATCAGTATTAACGTTTAAACCTTGCAATTCTAGTCAGTCAAATGGAGTGAAGTCAGCATAGACAGACTTTTCATCTGTTTTGTTAGTGTGTATGTTTCCACCTGTACTGGATAAGCGATTGTATTTCTTGGCAAGAATATATCAGATTGTTTGAAGCGACCAATGGCTTTGTGTCTGACCTCCATGGAGTCAGCAACTCTGACCCTCATTTACTGCCAGCTTGAGTCATTTGTTCATTAGCACTCTACACTCAGCTTATGTCACATGGTATCAGTTGGTATTGGATGTTAGTATCAGTGAACTATTATAAAGTCAAGTACGAGTAAATGAGCACAGTATCAGGCTGATACCCGACCCCAGTACTGGTATCGAGGCGTCCCTAGTTTTCAGTGTAGATATCCTGTTTTGCAATGCAATACTTCAAGTGGTAGCATTTTTACACAGCAGTGCCAGATCGGAGTTATTTTTTATTGCGGAATACATAGGCTTTTTTTTTTAATCAGTTTTTGTGCACCTTTAAATACGCTAGAACCAGCCTGACATTACATTTTGCCAACATTCTTAAAAATAAAGGTTCCAATAAGTGTTCTTAAGAGCTTTGACATATAATAACCACTTTGCTTCCCTAAAGAACCTTTTACTAAATGACATTCAGGCATGAAGAACCCTTTTTAAAAAGCTCTGCATAATGCCAAGATTCTATACCAATTAAAGGTTTTCCTGGAACTGCACATCCCAGCCATTTAGGAACTATATGCAAATCAAACTGCGCATGCTAATTTATTTGGACAGGCAGAGACATGTACATTAGCATATCTAACACACACAGGTGAAGTCTTTTATTCACTAACGCGTGTCTTCTGCTCCTAGAATTAATCAACATAAGGTATAAGCTGTTTTGTATTTGTTTTAAACACAGGGTGATGAACGCTTAGGCTGTATTGTTTTTCTTCATTTCACTGTTAATCAGAATGTGTTGAACGAGGTTATGTTGAACGCATTTCCTTATTTGATTTATTAAACATTTGAAGAGCTTTGTATTGATCAAAAAGAGAATTCAGACCTGTTAATCTGTAAAATATGAATGTTTTCTGTATTCAATTCTATAAACATTTAATGGCAGATTTACTAACATATTGCGACATCACAAACTCTGTTTTGGCCATGAAAAAATGGCTGTCGCAATTTACTAAACAGGCACAACATTTAGTGACCATAATAAGATGAAAGGGTGGTCACTGCACTTTTGCACTTTTGCTTCATTACATATGCATTTATAGGAGGTTCCTTCTCAATTTGAAAAATACTGTGAGGAGATTATTATAATGAAGCACCTACTCTAATTCACCAAGACTGATCACAAATGTGCACAGCTTAACATCTGTGAAGAGCTCATCTTATTTTTGCTACTATAGTAATTGTTTGCGGTTAGAGAAAAATAGTTTTTCAAAAACATTTATTTATTTTCAACAGAAAAAAGTCTGTAAATGTCTGTCATCTCACGTTATTCTTAATGTAATGAGGGGAAAAAAAAATTACAACAAATTGGTTTATAAAAATAATGTTTTAATCTGCTATTTCCTAAAACATTGTGTATTTTTTTACAACACTGTTTATGTTTTGCCTCTCCTTTTCCAAATGATTGTTAAAAGTACATACTGGAGATCCCTGCTTTACTAAAGCTACTCCATTGTCATTCCTTCATGTTGTGGCTTCCGCAAGTGCTGTGGTTTAGGTGCACACTGTGGCAGAAATGTCACTGCTGTTGTTGGATGTACTGCACATAGGTAAGAGTTTACATTCCCAATCATGCAGTTCTTGATTGACTGAGTGCACTCAGAGAAATTAAACAGGGATTTTATATTATCACCTGATGAACAAACTCAAGTTCAGCTCATCCACCAGCCGAAAATGAATCAAATCAGACAATAATTTTTTTTTTGCATTACTAATTATTTTGACTGTAGTCAAAATCTCGAGAAATAAAGAAATCAAGAAGTCATTATTTCAACCAAATGAGTCACAGTGTGAACCTGAACCAAAGATACATCTAAACATATTGTGCTGGTCATATGTCAATAATGAAGTTGCACTGTGTTAATCGTGTGGAAGTTCTTGGTAGATCACCTGCCAAATTCAAACAGGATTATTCAAACAGAACGCGCTCGCCATCGGCACGTTTGCCTTCGTTTTTTGAGAAGTCTGAAAATGATGTTCATAGAATTTGTGAATAATAGTTGTGAATAATAGTGGTGGCATTTTGGGGTCACTAAGTCTCCAAAACTACAATCAGAAGCCACTTCCATGCCAACAAACTAGTTAGAAAGCATGTCAGAAAAAAGCATTTTCTTTCATTGAACCACAAACGTAAGTGCACGGAGTTTGCTAAACAGTATTAGAGCTGAAACAAAGTTCTATTGTCAGATGAGCCAAACATAGAGATTTGGGCAACAAACACTCAAGGTGGGACTGGAGTAAACACAATGATGGTTACAAAGAAAGGAACCCCATCCCAACTTTTTAGTTTAGTGGAGGACCTGTGATGGGGCTGTTTTTTCTCTAAAGGTTTTGAGAACCTTGTTAGGATACATGGCTTCATGGACACCATGAAGGTAGGTTAAGATTTTAAATGAAAATTTTGAAAATCTGGCTGCCTCTGGTTGAATCTTCCAGGAAGACAAAAAACACATTCACACAAAAAACGATTCAGTTACCACAGAATCAAGCTTTTGACATGGTCTTCTCAGCCCCGTGACCCAAACCCCCATTTAAAACCTGTGAAGTGGGCAGTAGACAACAGTCCAAATGACAGGACCTAGGACCCTGGAAGATCTGGACAGATTCTGAACTTTTTACCCATCTTTACCAAGGAGCAGACTGTATGTCCAAGCCAAGAACCATTTAGGAACCTTTATTCTTAAGGGTGTGGTGTTTGTGTAACACAGTATGAGCGATTCTGCACCTGTGATGCTGGACAGAGCTCTGTGGATCAGGTCAATTTCCTGATGAGTCGTGACTGAGGGACCCAGACTGTCCTCAAAACCAGCCAAATGCATCATGGAACAGGAGGATATCTGCTTTGCTGTCTGTGGTGAGTCACTGTACGAAGGGGAGCACACCGTCTGGCCATGACTGGGAAAACCTGAGGAGTTTGCCAAAAACACACACACAGAATAGGTTTTGGTCATTAACCGCTTAAATTCCCAAGCATATTACATCCTAAGGCTTATTATTCTGCAATTATATGGAAAAAATGCTGACTGCCCGAGTTATTCCTGTAATAAAAGTAAGGACTGGTCACTTCAGTGAATGAAATACGTTGTTTTTTCAGATATGAGGATGTAAAGCTTTGTTTATGACAATTATTTCTCAATGTATCTAACCACACCTCCTGCAGTGCCTCTCGTATAAGCAAAGCATGGTGTGGAATGTGATCTGATATTTACTTATAGCAAGACGGTGAGCTTGGAAAACATTGGGAGCAGCCGCACACAATGCAAGATAAGCTCTGCATTAGACAGATCTATTTTTGACTTTGCCTAACAGACAGCCATCTGTTGCTCCTGAAATGGAAGTACAGATTCATGAATCATTCAGCTGGACTTCTTCCCTGGCAGTATAGTCAATATGCATCAGTAGCACTGACTTACATATGCATTTGGTTTCACCTCACTGCAAACACCACCCTCAGTTGTTGAGATATTGTGTCTGGATGTGATGTAAATCAGAGCAAGAAAATGTAAGTGAAATAAACCACATAAAGAGACACACTTGCCAAAACGAAAGCTTAACCATGTCTACATCTGCTAAAAACATTCTCACTGGCATCCTACAGTGGCAGTGATATTTTCTGCTTTAAAGGTTAGGAAACCCTCCCGATGATGTGTCTTGAAGGTGAGGGGAACATTTAAAAAAAACTACAACTGCTTTTATTATTATTTTTTTAGCTGGTGAATATATTAGGAAGCCAGATAGCTGATATTACTGCTAGGAGGCCGAGTGTCTTACTGCAGTAACTATCTTCAAATGCTTATTACAATGGGGAGAATGTATCAGTCAAATGACACAACTGGCCTGTCAGATGAAGAGGACAACAAGCTAAAAGCTAAAGTTAGTAAGGTGGTTATCTAGATATCTCACCTTTGGTTCCTTTTCTCTGGCTGAAAGGGTGAAAATCTTTCTCAGGCCTCTGTTGTGTTTGTGCTGAATAAAGTTAGAATTGCTGCTTTCTGTACTTTTTTAAGCTGTTTTCTTTTGTAGGCTAGCAGTCAGAATTGGCTGACACCACAGAGATTGCCAATAGTTGTATGATGTATTTGTGTAATGCATGCTGGGTATTGTAGTAAGACCGCAGATGAACGGAAACATGAAAACAAAAGCTCTTTCAAACCAATGAAGCTGAGAGATACAATGCTGAGCTACAAAATGCTGCAAAACTCAACAAATAACATATTGCTGTGGTCAGAACAAAACCTTATATCTCCAAAATAGTAACTTTACAGGAGAGGAAAAAAACATACTTTACTTTTAATGTAAGTCAATGGAACCAGACATTTTTTCAAATAATTTTGGGCCACTTCTTTTGGTCCATTCATCATGAAATGTACACACAATGTAAAGGGCAACAAGTACTGATTTTGTCAAAAACTGAAAAACGACAAAAATGGAGACACAAGTTTTGTTCCAACAGCAGTGATATTAAACTCTAGTTTTAGGCCAGAATGCTCCTTCTGATAGGGTGATAGGGCCCATAAATGGCTGCATATTTCAATTCCTCTCACTCATAACTGCATAACGCATTAGTACTTCATATTAGGTTCACAGTAGTTACTGAGTAATTTGTAGTAGTCACTGAAAAATAAGCCTGTAGTTTAAGCTGTTAATATTAGATAAACTGCATATTTACAGCAGGGGCGAAGCCTACATATGCACCTATCTGTCCAAAAGTATTCAGACACTCCTTTTGTGTTCTCTAGAGTTATTAATCTCCATCCAATACCTTTGGGATGAGTTTAAGTGGTGTTTGTGATCCAGAACTAACCATCCACTAAACATCAATACCTGACCTCATTACTGCTTTTGTGTCTGAATGCAATCAAATCCTCAAAGCAATGTTCTAACATCTAGTGTAAAACATTCCCAGATGAGCACACAAACATTTTATATACACACACACACACACACAAACATATATATATATATATAGTATTATGAAAAATTCTTTTTAAAAATGACTTAATGAGATTCCAATGTGCATGTGAACATTACATGCATATAATACTGTGTAAAGGTCAGAAACCATTTTTCTTTTATTTAGTTTCTGGTCCAAACAGCCATTTAAATGCATCTAAATTAGCTTGGAGAAAAACCACAGAGATAATGTGACCCCTAAAAACTGTGCAAGACGTGGTAGATGAACCCCCCATGAGATAAACAGTACTTAAAACTGTCATCATTGAGACAGAGAAAATCAAGTTCCACCGTTGCTTCAGATCTTAAAAAATTGCCCTGTGTTCCCTGTGTGAGAAGACAACTCAACACTATGGGTCTTAAAGGAAGTCTCGCTGTTAAGAAGCTCTTACTGAGAAAAAGAAATTTGCAAATGAATCAAAGAAGCTGCTGGTGTTCTCAGAACAACTGACTGGCCACCCCAGAGTCCAGACCTCAACATCACTGAATGTGTTTGGGATTAATTGGTGAGAAGCAGAAAATGCAACGTGAACTTTGGAGGTGTGGAAAAATACTGAAAGCAAGTCTCCTGAAAAGAATGGAAGCTGTAATAAAGGGAAAGTGTGGACACACTAAATACTGAAAAAATGAAATTATATTTAGTTTTTGAGGCTTCCGTGTCATGTTCTGTTAAATATTTGTCTTTTTATGATGCTAAAAAAAATGAATAGCTTACTTAGTGGTCTTTTCCACTGTAAATTAAACAAATGAAAGGTGGTCTCTGACTTGTACAGTACTGTACGTATTGTTCTAGCTCACGTAATGGCACAATGGTGTGACTAAAAAAGCGCTAAAGTAATTACAGGCTATTATTAGCCAATAAAGTGTCTATGTTTATTACAGTAAGTAAGTAATGACTAACTGTTGGACATACCATCCTGGTGAGGAGGGAGGGATGCTGTGGAGTGGTCTGAGTATCTTGGAATTCTGCTGGTCTTTTGGGCTGCCACCATGTGGTGATGTGAGTGGGCTACTGAAGAAGGTTGGTGGGCTGGCCTGGAGTTTGGCTGTTGTGCTGCAGGGGCATCAAACCTAATATTTTGCACAAAGAGAAGAATTACCTTCACCAAAGAGTGTTGTATCTTCATAAGTCTGATGATCCATAATTAAAGGTTGGCTTATATGGGACAAAAATATAAAAAGAATAATTATCCCTTTCATTCATCACATAGTCTACAGCTTTTATTAGCAAGCCCTAAAAGAAACAGGGGATTTAATGGAAGTAACAACTACATCTAAACTGTGAGACCGGATCAGAAAGACTACACTTTATAGAAAATCATGGGGAAAGAAAAGAGGCCACAAGGATTTCACAACTGATTTAACACAAAGAGAGGTAATTACAGCAGGCCGCTTGCCTTGGACTTTCATAGTATTTTTCCGATTCTTTGAAGCACTTCGTGGATTTCAGCTTCCCCTCTGGTTGGCGGCTATAGCGTCAATTAATGCAGACTCTTAAGACCAATGAGGCAGAGCCGAACTTGCTCTTACTAGCCAATTGTCTTTGTGGATTCCTGTGGTGCGCTGCGCGCCTACCGCTGCTATTGGAACAATTGCGGGCAGCGCGTAGCCATGAGCATCTGGCTCCAGCATTGCAGAGACGGTTCCCTCTGCCCTTTGAAGTGTAGCACTGAAGGAATGGGTTTCTATGGGCCGACCGTGCGACAGTGTCGCTGGCAATCCAAAACTGTAAACCTCTTCCCAAATGCTTTGCCATAGCAGACGTGTAAGACTCACAAAGGCCCATTGGTGCCTTTCACAAGGAGGGAAAAATGGCGCTTTATTTTAATCAGATTATTTCAACTATGAGCTTACAGCCATAAAACCATGACAACCAATGTTCAAGGACTTATTTGTTGCAGATCAGAGAAAAAGAAAAAGAGTGTTGGAGCATTTAAATCAGTCATAGCAACCTGCTCTGCCAAGGTGAACTCAAAATGAATGCTAACTAAATAGCGATTCAGTCCACGGCAGGTTCCTGCATTGAGAGCAGACCAAAACATAGAATTTGGGGGAGAGGGGAGAAACATACTGCATTGATGAGAATGGCAAAGGATTATGCGGACCAATTCATCACCCTTTGCAAAGAGACACAGACACAAGCGTATAGAAGTAATGCCAACTTAATGTGGTGGCTAGCGTTTCTCTGTCTGGGCTGATCTGTGCTTTTGAAGGAGCACAAATGTACCTTCATTTTCTCTACTTATACATGAGAGTTAGCATGAGCTGTCTTTCTTTTCTCACACTTCTTTTTTTTAACTTTCTTTCAGGCTTCCTGTGAACCAGCGACCAATTTTGGGCCCAGCAGGAGCCCTTGGGAGGAATAGGACTACCGCGGTTCTCAGGGTACTCGATTAAAAAGCTTCATTATAATTTACTGTAATGGTCACCATGAAATAAAGTGTTCTCTTTCCCCTGTTAGAGACAAGTCGGTGAATAAATGAGAGAATTGTGCAGGATTCAAATCCATTACACATTGTTTTGTCTGACACTGACAATTTGTTTGTGGTACGGTTGGAATATTAAGTTTAAACAACCTTTTACAAGACATTAAGCCTTTATACTTGAGCTCAGGCTTCTCTGGTCTCAGTTCTCACATTCAACATATCATATAGCATTTTTATCAGAACAGAACAATTATAGAGAAAGACATCATTTATTTAGTTCTGGTTCTTCATTTGCACACATTGAATTCACAAATAAATCATCGTACCTGATCATTGTTTTTGTCTCAATTTCCCCTTAATGTAGTCATGGCCAACTCCCACCTGTTGGCTATCACCAATGCTACGAAGCTAGGAGGGTGAAGCCTAGCACATTCTTTTTCCAAGACATGTGAAACCCTCCTGTATCGTTTCAAACAGCACAACACACTTGGTATAGAACTGCCAATTCTGTTACATCAGTTTACAGACTCCTGTGTTGGCTATTATGGGGGAGGAGAGGGACATTCTACCCACCCATAGAGAGAGCAAGACCATGTTATACTTTCTTTGACTCCCAGCCAAGGATAGCTGTGGCACTCGATCAAACTCATGATTTCCTTATGCTGAGGGGCATCATTTAGGCAACTGCACCACTCAGGAGACAAGTTTTTGCGTTTTTTCCCCCAATTTATGGTGCATTTTGTGTGTTACAAATTGCTCACAAACCACATAAAAACCAATATCATGATACTAGCAGTTATAAGATATAATATAGAGGGTAAACCGTTTCAGAAAAAATGTTTCAGTCTGGAGTTCAATACCGTGCCTGGCCAAGCACAATATGCTGTATCAGTAAGAGTCCTTGGGCAAGACTCCTAACACTGCAGTCATATGCAAGATTAAATGTCTTCTTGATTTTCTAAGAGAAAATAAGTTAACACATCCTCTACAGGGAACTCAAATAGGGAATTTTTTGCAAATGTTAGTGCACAATTCCAATTTATTTGATGAGTTTAACATATAGGATAAAAATAAAACACAGGCTACATTCAATATTTTATTTATTTTTTGTTAGATTCAGCAAATAAAAAGTAACTGAAAAGCAAAAAAACTTAATTTAATCAGGGCTTAACTTTTGCATACGACTGTATACTTGCCAACCTTTGTAACATGATTACATAGAACGCTGCTCTGGATAAGAGCATCTTCCAAATGTATAAATGCAAATTGAACATACTGTATATTGTAAAAATATTTTCAGGTATCGTGTGATATTTTTGCCACATTGCTACCCACAACTATAGGTATAGAAATATTAACTTTTATTCTTTATTTGGTTGAGATGTCCCATCAAGAGACATTTTTGAAAGACAAAAAGCTGTAAGACGAGTACCTGCTGTTGGCTGGAGGTAAGGGAGGCAGTGGGTGATGGGAGCTGCTGGGAGGGGGATGAGCCTGGCCTACTGCTGGACACTGCATGGGGTTCTGTAGACTGGTCACTTGGCTGGACTGGTCGAGGGAGAACATGCCTGACACACAGACAGAAAAGAAATGAAGTGCCTACCCATATGAGAATGGAACACTGGAACATGTTGTAAATATATTACAAAATCTAAATAAAATATGTTGTATTTTTCATTTTGATATGGGTATTTCATGGAATGTTTGAAGCGTCTTATGTCGGTAGCAGCAGTGTACCTGTATACAGGTCAGTGGCTAGACCAGGAGACTGGCACAACTTGCTATCAACTACATCCAATGGTGACAGGCTGTGTTGCAAAGGCTGTATAGTTAAACACTCTGAGAGTCCGTCTTGGTAGTGCTCTGTGCTGGATCTCAGCTGTTTAACAGAAAAGAGAATACAATGAACTGTAATCACATTAGCTCACAGTTATAACAGTTGTGGTTCCTAATTTGTGTAAGTAGCTTTGCTTAATGGATTTTAATCAAACTGCTGTTTGAACAAATATGAATTCCTCTTTAGAGCTAAGTATGCAACGAGAGCAATTAGCCTGATGATTTTCCCTGGTGGACATTAATTGACCCTTAGCAGGAACTATGGACATTAGACTAATACACATAGTGAGAATGTTTTTAATGCTGCTTTTAAAACTAGGGCCTGGGGCTTTGTTAAGGGGCTGTTTATATATATATTTATATACACAGTGCTGTGAAAAAGTAGTTGCCCCTTCCCAATTTCTTCTACTTTTGCATATTTGTCACACTTGAATGTTTCAGATTACCAAACTACTTTTAATTGGACAAAGACAATTAATATAAACACAAAATGCTGTTTTTAAATGATAACTTCATTTACTGAAGGAAAAATGCTGTTCAGCCCTACCTGGCCCTACATGAAAAAATAATTGCCCCTTCTGCTACTAAATCAACCAGTTAAACAATTTTTTGGGTTCAATTTCACCAGCCACACCCAGGCATGATTACTGCCAGACCCGTTGAATGTAAACATCACTAAAATAGAACCTGTCTGGCAATGTAAAGCAGGCTCGAAGATCTCAAAAAGCAGCACATGATGCCATATTTTAAAGAGATTCAAATACAGATGCGAAACAAAGTCAGGGATATCTACCAGTCTGGAAAAGGTTACAAAGCCATTGCTGAGGCTCTGGGACTCCAGCAAACCACAGTGAGAGGCATTATCCACAAATTGAGAAAACTTGGAACAGTGGTGAACCTTCCCAGGAGTGGCCAGCATACCAAAATTCCACCAAGAGCGAATCAACCACTCATCCAGGAGGTCACAGAAGAACCCAGATGAACATCTAAAGAACTGCAGGCCTCACTTGACTGAGTTAAGGTCTGTGCAAACAATTCCATAATAAGAAACTGTGGACTGATGAGTCAAAGGTGGAAGTTTTTGGAAGACATGGGTCCCGTTATGTCTGACATGGGTCCCCATTACATCTGACATCTACAGCTAACACCACAAATCACCATAAGAACATCATACCAACAGTCAAATTGAGTCGAGTGGCTGAGTTAAAGTCCTGACTTGAGTCCCATTGAGATGCTGTGGCAAGACCTTAGACAGGCAGTTTATGCTTGAAAACCCTCCAATGTAGCCAAATTAAAACAAAGAAGAGAGGCCAAAATTTCTCCACAATAATGCAAAAGACTGATCGCAACGGGGGCAATTACTTTTTCACAAGGTTGATGCAGGTTTTGAATAAATCTTCAATCTCAATAAATCTTTAATAAACGAAATGATCATTTAAAAAGCTGCATTTTGTGTAGCGTTTTTGAGCTGTGCTCAAAACATTGTTTAGTGACGACGTGGGATGTGGAATAATTTCTTTTGATATAATAAAAATTAAGATATAGGGTCACTCATAACAAAGGATTTTAGTCTAAAGATCAAGTCAGTTAAAAGTCCGAAATGTGTTTTCAACTCTGACTTTAAACCAATTTGTTAGAATGAATGTTAGAATTTGTATTTTTTGCAGTTTTACATGAGAAAAAAAGACATAAAATAGTAATTGTGCATTGAAATGTGCAGAAGTGTGTTCCCTGTAGAGTATTGTTAACTTATTTTCAAAATAAAATAAATAAAATCAGTATATAGACAGACACGATCTTTTCACTGATACCTCTAATGCCATGTGTTACTGATACATCCAAAAACCCAGTTCTTCAACTAATCTCTGTTCAACATAAGCTACATCTACAGTGTGTGTATATATATATATAGTCTGGCAAATACGATGTTGTAGCGCTCATGTTAGAATTTATGCTGGCTATTTTAATCACATTAGTGACATTAAATGCATAAAACAGATGCTACACATATTTTCTGGCTATTTTTTCCCTCTTCCAGTGAAGAAGCAGCACACCGTAAGCAGCGGTATCTATGGTGATGTGATTTGTTTTTGTTGTGTGATAATGAGTACAGCTCCTACACCAGTTACAAGTTTACCAGTTTTATCAACAACACTCTTATAAAATGTTGTATGTTATGTATCATAAGCACATGATGGCATATGTTAAAAAGTATTTATAAGGGAAAATGATGCTGGATTTTTATCATTTATTAAAGGGCCTCAGGTTGGTTTGTAGAGAAATAACGTCTTAAATGATGTATATGATCAGTAAACATTGCACAAAATTGCACATGTGCACTATATGGTATATTCTATATTGTATGCACCTCATTGTATGATGGGTATTTGCTTCTTGGTTAATGGTGCTAAGAAGGATCCTCTGGTAGAGAATTTCATTGAACAGTAAAACTCATTACTGTGCATATGACTATAAAGGATTTCATAGTCTTCTATATATTCTATATTACTCATACATTTGAACTGGAACGTATGCAGTGCTGAGGTGATAGTAAAGTAATGCTCCACTGACTCTCACCTTCTTCCTGGCCTGCTGCTCCTTGGTGGAATGTGATTTGACATGCTTGCGCAAAGAGCTTGGATCCGTGTAGCGCTTCAGACACCCTTGAATCTGACACGCGTACGGTTTCTGCACAGATAGAAACACACAGGTAGCACTGCGGTATTTTCAGAAGTGCACCTGCACCAGCTTCTTTGTGGCGTCTTGTGTGGGTGGGCTGGAATGAGGATGTTAGTGGAAATGACGGGCTCACTGCATTCTCAGAGTCTTTTTTTCATAGACTACGGCTGCACGATTATTTTGCTCAGCATTGAAATTGTGATTATAACAAAATGAACAAAATACAGTAGATTTATAGTGCTGCAATTCTAGATCAACAGTAAACAACCATTTCTTTCTTAATGTTGTAGTCAAGATCAGGACCAGCTTAAGGCTTTTTCAGTTTTATTAGCAATATTTTTTATTGTTAATAAAAAGTATATAGCTTAAAACATTATGAATTATTTGCCTTGTAACTGGAAGCAGTGTTAAGATTATTCTCTGTTCATTTCTTCTCTCATATTCAGCATCACCACCTGAAGTCAAGTGAATATAACTTAAAAAAATATTAAATAAATAATATGAAAACATAAAAATAATAACATCTTTTCTCAGGGGATGTTGAAACTTTGGAACCAACAAACATCATAAATCAAATAATCTTCAGTTAAACCATCCTAGAAAGGATCAATTAGATCCTTAACTAACAGATTATTTAAAAAGTATACAGCAGTGTTTTTCTACCTGTGGGCTGTGGTGGTACTGCAGGTATTTTTTTAAATGGAAAAATTCATTACAATACAAACATTTAACCAAATGTAATGTAAAATATGACAAATACTGTTGATTATTTGCTAAAATAAAATATTATATTGATAAAATTATTAATTAGCTAGTTATGTCTATATTTTCAGTGCAAACGAAATACCGCAATGAATACGTAGGATTGGGCTTCATGTTTGTAAGAACTGAAAACGCTCAGTGCTGTTTGCTTTAAATAAAGCTTTGAAACCCAACAATTTACACCATCACTCGGAGACTAAACACAATGAATAAGTATCTAAACCTGCCGAATTGAGCCAAAACTCCGTTTCTTTCCTCTGTTCAGCCTGATACTTTGCTGCCCAATCAGCCTTCTCATTAGGTGAGTCAGAAAAAGACGATATGAACACTTAAATCCACGGAAGCTTTTAATGGTCTTTTGTGTGGACGAGTTGCAAAAGTGTGAATTCCTGATACAGAGAAAGAACTGTTTTAGTCTGTTTATGCTGGTTTTGTTGATATTCAATAATAGTTCCGTTTCCAGTTACCTCAACCGGAGGCATTACACTCGGCGACAACAATTTCCAGGAACACCTTACCCCGAGACCGAGACAAGACCAAGTCCAAATGAGTTTCGAGACTGGTCTCCAGTACTACAGTACTACATCGTGCACTATAAGCCTGTGTTCCTTCAAATGTGTACATCTTTACATCAAAACAAGACAAGTCCTTAGCCATTAAGCTTTAAATGCTACGTATAAATAAATGTGCCACCACAGTATGTACCCAAATGCAGCTTCTATAGAAAATTCATAGGTTTATTTTCCAGAAACACAAGCCAGTCAACACCAAAAATAAGTATCTCCATTTTTTGATTTTCATTTTTCTTTATCAGCCGTCCTTTACGTTGTGTGAAAATTTCATGATGAATGGACCAACAGAAAAGCTCCAGAACTTTACATCTTTACATCAACTTACATTAAAAGTTAGGAACATTTTTATCCCTCTCCTGTTGCCATTTTGGAGATGACAATCTAAAGAGGCAATAAAAATGATATCTAACCTTAGCTTATTAGCTAACTTTAGCTAAGATCATTAACACTGGAGACCCCTGGTGCAAAATCAGGAAAGGGGAAGGGGGCATGTCCCTCCCCACTTTTTCAATTACACAAGATAAATTTGGGGGTGGATTTGGATGGTTCTAAAAAAAGAAAAACGTACATAACCCATCCTGGAATCATTTTCAACACTTCTATACTATGATTATTTGTTGATTTATGCCATAACAGTTGGTAATAGTCCTTGCTTTTTCTTATTAATTATCATGATATTTAACATAATTGGGGTATTTTGCAAAAATATTTATAACAACATGCAGATTAGCCTAAGAATTGTAGTGACCTAAAAAAAACAATGACAAAAAACAATTTTAATAGGCGACAAAATTGAATCTATAAACAGAATATGTATGATATTCATGCTAATAACACTTTTTTGTGTTTTAATATTGACATATAAAGTATAAGATATTAACATGAAAAGTGTAATTGAAGGTGTACTTTTTTATTTATACAGTTCAAGCTTAAATTTTTAAGTTGCCATATGTAAGCTATAGCCTCCTGACATTGGTCCCCTTTGCTTATCAGACCAAATTTTCAACCTTGTTCCAGCTGATTATGTCATTGTCTTTGATTTAATTTACTGAGGAAAGCAAATATCATGATCATGATTAAAATACCCCTTATAAAAAGAAACAATATGGTGATGTGCCAATATTCAGTAATGAGATATGCCATGATATTCAACACATATTTATTATTATCATGGACTCATGGAGATTTTAAATATGCAGAGTAGCCTGGTTTAATAAGATCCCACCACACTGTCACATTGTGATCTCAAGCTTTATTCTACAGCTGTTATAGTGTTTTATTGGTTTGAACACCTTCACAGCTCATGGCAAAGGTTGCAATGCTGTCCTTTCACACTCCATGTGTTATGTAGAGCACCAGGGGTCTACCACCTGGCCTGAAACATAGCGGACACCAAAGACATGATGCCTATTAAAACTGAAAAAACAGGATTTCAGAAATGACTGGAGACTGCTGTGCCATTATACAAAATGTACAACCACTAAAACTTACTGCTATTAAAGTGGACTTATCATGCTTTTCTGTTTTTTCCCTTTCCCTTAGTGTCACAAAGCCCAAAGTACATGCCAAAGAGAGAAACTCTCTTCTACAGAAACCACTTTTCTCAGCTGTCTGAAATGCCTTGCTGGAATTCCAGTCCTCTGTCTTTGTTACAAGATGATGCAATCTCATAACACAATCCTTATTGCCCGCCTACTGGTAAGCTTGGCATGCCCTCACACAAGAGAGCTACAAAGTAATAACTTACCACTCTGAAACGTCCCACTCCAGTCCAGCTTGCGAAGGTAAATCTACCGATTTGTTCTGTCTGACTTACAGGATACCTGACTCTGGCTTAAACTGATACAGCAGAACCGACGCCGTTGTAAGAATAGGCACAGTGGTGTAGAGGCGGAACTTATCATCAGAACAAAGTAAGCTGACCAATCAGAGCACACTGGGCTCATTGGGAGGCGGGGCTTAAAGTCACAGGAGCTCTAACAGAGCGTTTCAGACAGAGGGTGAATACAGATGAACGATATGAAAAAATGTATTTGTTTTTGGAACACTACTACATGTATGTAGTAGTGTACAGTACTGTGCAAAAGTCAGAGACTAATCTTTATTTATTTAATTTCCAGTTAAAATAGCCACTACAGACAAGTTATTAATTTTACAGGTGATATTTCTGAGGAGATTCTCATAAAATAATTCACTTGCATAAGGAAAAAGAAAGTAAGGTCTCACTTCAGACCACTAGTCCATTACAGTCCCTATAGATTATCTACGGATGTTCTAATTGTTAACAAACTATCTGTTGAAACTCAGTTGGTTCTACACAGTGGTGGGGTTAGGGTTAGGATCCGGACCAGGGTTAGGGCTAGGACCAGGATGTTTGAGTTTAGGTTTTGGGTTGAGGTTAAAGTTAGGGTTAGGATTAGAGCCAGGTTTAAAGTTAAAGACAATTATGGTCAGTTTAGTAGATATTTAGTTGAATGTAACTTGAAAGTAAATTAAGTATCAACAAAGCATCTAAATAAAGAGTTACCGAAAGTAAACAAAATAGAAAAAAACAAGGGTTTCCAAAACTGGAGTTTTAGAATTACTAAATTTTGAGAAATTTTGAGAAAATGGAGAACCTGGAGCTTCTAACAACTGTGCAAGATCTGGTAGACCACCAAACTTGTCACTATCAGATAAGCAGTACTCCACTTATGCTTTAGATCTGAAAATATTCACTGACAATGCTTTATTGCTATGGGTCTGAAAGGATGAGTAGCTGTCAAGACAAGAAAAGGAAATAGACTAAAAAAAAAGAGCATTTGCACTAGAACGCTTAAACTGGACATCTGGAATAAGGTTTTATGGACTGATGAGTCTAAATTTGTGATTACTTGGATTGCAAGAAGCAGAAAAAGTAACCCACTTCTAGGACTCAACTTTGGAGATGTGGAAAAATATGAAAGCAAGTCACCTGAACAGAATGGAAGCTGTAACAAAGGTAAAAATGTGGATTATATTTAGTTGTTAAGGTTTCTGTGTGAAATACATGTTTTCCTAATGCTGATAAATTCATAACTGGTACTTAATGGCTGTTCTGACTGGAAATTAAATAAATGAGGGGTGAGCTTTGACTTGTGAACAGCAGTTGAACATGTAAGGTTTTATTTCTTATTACGGTATTCAATAATAACGAACTGGTACAAATGGTTGAGTAATTACAGTGACATTCATTTTTTTAGACTGGCACATGCCTACTGTAGTAAACTCTATAGTGCTGTAAATACTGAATGCTTTACCCTCCATGCAATATCCCTGACTTTTAGTAATCTATACTACTTGTGTAATACCTGTACTATTGAACCCTCTTTACTTTAGGATTTCTATAAGAATCCTACAGAAATAGTAGTGCTGTACTTTTTTTTTCATAAGGGATGATTAATTCTGCAGCCCTATTATACACTCACTGTGTCAACATGTGTGCGCTGGTGCTTGGCTCGGTCGCTGGAATTGCTGAAGGCTTTCTGACAGCCTGGGTGCTGGCACGTGTAAGGCTTCTCTCCGGTGTGGCTCCGCAGGTGGATCTTCAGGTTCTCCAGGCGTGAGAACGCCTTCTGACAGCCCTCGAACTGTCCGGGGCGATAAAAAAGACACGACGAAAGAGAGACTGTTATTTCAAATACGGATACATGTCAATTATGCATAGAACAGAGGGAGCGCTCCGGCTGGACCCAAGGGCCAAGAGGCGTATCCGCATGCTTCAACCAGGAGGGGTCAGTGTTTTACTGCTCAAGTCAATCAACCATCTCTCCATGACTCCTCTGGTTCCACACCCTCCCTGAGCCCATTACCTGCTCCCTGCAGATCTAAAAGGTTCTAAATATGTATACCACTGTGACTGACATAGAATAGTATAAAAAGTCCCTTTTTATTCCTGCGCTGCTGCTAATGCACAGAAACAGCCTTCAACAATGATGCCAGGCAGAAGGTCTCGTTGTGCCTCATTAGTGAAGCATTAAAAAAAAACTGTTTCAGCACTATTTCCCAATGAGCCCACCCTTGAGGCATGTACGCCCCATGCTCTTTGTCCTCTCTATGGCCAAGTCTGGAATGCGTAGGTCTACAACCTGACTGAAATTACATGAAAGCCATCGAGTTGCTAACAGAACTGGTCACCTTATTTCATTTTTGAGAACAAGCCATTGTTTTTTGGTGTCTAATTGTGAGTGACGACACCAGAATAGCTGAGATTCTTTCTCACACCACTGCTCTCGTCACAGAGAGGAAACAGGCCCTAAAAGTCTGGAAATGTTCATTACTTCCCTGTATGCACTTTGATCCTTAGTCAAATATTCCCGATTCCCTTTTCCCTCAAAGGCCGTTCTGCTCAGCTGGCTAAGGGTGAGTAAGTGCTTCAGACTGTGAGAGTAGGCTTCCGTATGATTGGCTGTGATTGCAGATATTTTATTGCTAAGCTTGACCTGAGTTTGAAGAAACCACAGCTACCAGCTGGGTATAATCATCTTCCCTGTACTCTACTGGGGTCTTCATGATTGATTCGCAATTCTGCTAAACTGTCTACTTGAACCCAAAAGAACAATATATTCATCCCTTTGTCCAATAATGTTTTCTCACAGAACAGAAATGAAATGAAATAGTTGCTGATTAACATTTTGCTCCTCTGACTTGTGGACAAATCTATTTGTCCACATTTACTAATATTATATTAGAAAAATAAGAAAAATACAGTATGGTGCAAAAGTCAGAAACCACGTAGAAAATATATGTAATAGAAAATTACACAAAAGCCTCCAACTCAAAGTATAATATCATATTTCAGCATTTAGTGTGTCCACGCTTGTCCTTCATTACTACTTCTATTCTTTTCAGGAGACTTGCTTTCAGTTTCTCAAGGAAATCTACAGAGATATTTTTCCATTCCTCCAAAGTTCAGTCCTAGAAGTTGGTTAAATTTTACTTCTCACAAAGCAAGTTTTTTCAGGAGACACTTGATATACGATAATCCATCTGCATAAGGAAGAGGAGTCAAAGGAAAATAAATGGTCTGCAAAACCAGAGTACAATTAGACTCTTAACAACTGTACAGGACCTAGTAGAGCATCAAAACTGCCACCATCAGATAAACAGTACATAAAGCTTTTATCTTTGAGAAAGAGGAGAAAATCAAGCGGCTTCAGATCTGAAAAAATCCACAGTGAGAAAACAACTCAACACTATGAGTCTGAAAGGATGTGTAGCTGTCAAGAAGCCCTTACTGAGAAAAGAAAACACTGAAACGAAATAAATAAAGGAATAAATAAAGAGTGGTCTCTGACTTTTGCACAGTACTGTATACTGTTTTCTCATGTTGAATGCGTTTCCAAAAGCGAGGACTATTATAGCTTGGCATTTAGTTCTCTGGCCAACAGTCGCCACTCAATTCCTACGCCATCCACAGTGGCTTCCCTTAGATCAGCCTCTAATTACACGGGGTTTGTTTAAGAAGCTGAGTGTCTGGGCCTGGGATTAAACGCTTGCTTATCAAAGGAGCTGGAGGAAGGCAATGCTATTTCACAGTCGCTTCACGCAAATGGAATATTATCTTTCAGAAATACCAATTTTGAAAAAACCTACAAATATTCTGCTAATGTCTGCTTGTATATGACAACTGCAAGCTATTGATTGCACTGGATGTTTACTTGCATTGAGTCACCAAAATATGTCAAAAAAGAACAAATATAATAGGCCCACTGTATTGAGCTTTTTATCCATTGTCATGTTTGTTGCAAAGGTCTCTTAAGTGTGCGACAAGAGCCATTAGAGCCAGAAATTACAACCGCTGTCTTCTTTAATCACCGTTTACTCATTAGGGTGCTAAACCAGCCCTGCACAATCGTGACTGCCCAGCAAGGATAAGAGGAACACAAGGCGGGAGAAAAGGAGCCAAATCAATAAGCATTCAGCTCAGGGCTGAGGAGAAAACAACAGACGCAACATCAGACGGGAGTGCCTCGGTGCACTTGGAGTAGCCTTTCAGATTTATTTAATAAAGCTCCGGACCCTGCTGGCTCCGCAGAGAGGCCGAAGGAACTAAAAAGACAGCGTGGCGGCTCCTGTGCGCGCCTCAAAGCCGCAGCCAGCCCCTGACAGGCCGTGGCAGCCCGCCATGCCCCGCCACATAATGGCAGCTCCGTCCCATGCCAGCAGTCAGGCTGCGAACATCTCTCCCTCACCTCCCCCTTTTGTTTGCCCCTTTCTTACGCAAAGCCCTGGCATCTCCAGCACAACAACAACAAATGCTGTTTTTTTATATTATTCTTCACTGCCTTCATTGCCATGGCAGTCGTTTTTTGGACAAGTCCCATCAATAGTAGACAGTTAATGTTCCCTTATGGAATATAAAATAATGGACTGCAGTGTCAAGATCAATCATCCAAAGGCAAACAGGACAAGCTATGGTGTAATTAGAACTGTCATATGAGACTGTTGTTTCAAGGTAAGGTTCATTCAGTTTAGCAAGAAGACCTACACACCTACACCCACGCTTGCAAGAACAAAAGCACGTAACTACAGAGACTAAAGGAGCCCTCTTGTAGATGCCAGTGCAGTTTCCCTCCTTACCCGCCAAAAGTCCTGCGGGTCACGTGATCAGCGTAGTATTCAGTACCATAGACTGAGAGCCAGAATTTCAAGTTTCTCTGGATGTACTAACTGACTGGATTACAACAAAGGCTCTTACTTCAAGAATTCTCAATAAACATGTAGCATCTAATTTAATGTAACGATCATTTAATCATTTGGAAATCTAATGGAACCATATCTTTCTTACTGTCTTCCAAAGCCTCAGCTGGAACTCTGGTACAATCTCAAGAATAAAGGTTTCAAAAGGCTTCTACACCTTTAACTGGTCTAGAATCTTTTCATAATTTCAGCTTCTTTCTCATGGTTCTTTAGAGAACCATCCATTAATACAGGAATTCCTTTTTTTTGGTAGAACTGAATTGTTGAGATGTACTGTAGAGAACTTACCAACAATGGTGCTGATAGGAAACAGAGGTCACTATGTCTACAACACAAATATAGCCATTTTATTTACTATCCCAAACCACCAGTGATCCTACATGTATCTTCTTTTGGGTTTTAATATGTGTATGTAATTCATTTTCTCTGGGTACACTCTTAAAAAAGATGGTTCTTCAAGGGTTCTTTAGTAAAGAAATTTGTTCTACACAGAACCATGAGCACTCAAAGAACCTTTTGCAAGAATACAGCGTTCTTTGCATAATGAAAGCGTTCTTCAGATTGATGGGAGAATGTGCTGTAGATGGTTGTGCTGTAGAACCTTTTTGAAAAGGGTTCTATATAGCACACGATGTCAAGCTTGAAACAATAGAGGGTGCCATCTAGATCCCTTTTCAAAAAGGTTCTATATAAAGAACCATCTGTAGCACATTCATGCACATGTTCCAACAATCTGAAGAATGCTTTCATGATGCAAAGAACCCTACTATCTTGCAACAGGTTCTTTGAGTGCTCATGGTTCTATATAGAACAATTTTCTTTGCTAAAGAACTTTTGAAGAACCATCTCTTTTGAGAGTGTACCATTCTGCCTTACAATACCCTGCATGTACCTCTCTGCCATGAATGGATTGAAAAAAATACATTTTAGGCTAAAATTTTTATCTCAGAACTATAGCAAAACAATCTCCCAGCCACTGTGCAATGTATTTGTTACCATTTTGTGTAACAGCTTTCTCTAAGGGAGCTTTTAGAGGCCTTAAATACTCCAGACATCTGGTTCTGATATGGTTCAGTTCTGGCCACAAGGCACTATTTCACACCAAACCACTCTAAATAACCATTTAGTTTCATCTTAACCATTTAGTTATGCACAAAAATTGGCAGAATAGGCAGATTTCCTCACTCCAAAAAGTGCACCTTCATTTTTAAAGGTATGCAAGATGAGGAGTTCATATTGTCCACCTGTCAGGGGAAACAAAGCACGCCTGAAATGCTGAAGGAGAGCAAAGGCAATTTAAATCCACAAGGTAGTCAGTAACAGCTGCTGGATCAGACAAACAACTTAAAAACGACACTTAAAGATCCTTGCCAAACCTCCTGATAGCAAGCTTTTGTAGCTGCTATTTCTGGTGGCCAGCCCAGCGTTTCTCCTGGCTTCCATGGTAACCCTCAACACGAATACCTGCTCTTTTGATTAAAAAAAAAGAAAGCGAGTTGTCATTCCTTCACTGCAGCCTATTGTCTTTATACAGTTTAATTAATGACTCCTACAAAGAGCAAGATCTAATAATTGATATATTTCTACTGTTAAGATCATAACAGAAATGCTAACTTTACAAAAAGTGTTTCAAAGTGAAACTTGTCAGGAAAATGTACTGTGTTGAAAGTATAGCCGTTCTTTTTGAATGGTAACAAAACATGGATCCATATGTAAACGTTTAAGCCTTCATCCTCAGATCAACGCTCGGGAACAGGAACAGGTTCAGGCATGCTTTGCTAACGTCCTGCGATTGTGAAGCGTAATAGGATCTATTTAATTATGATCTCAAAGAGCACAAATCTGTTCCAGTATGGTTTCTCTGTCTGTCAGTCTTCCGAGTGGCCTGACTTTGGCAAAGCTTAGGCAGATGATGGTGGTATTTGCACAGTGAAGGAAAAGGTCTATAAACAACAAGCAGCAAGCAGAGAATTTTTCAGCTTGGGTAGAGGCTGTGACCATTTTCTTCCCTCCTTGGTCTATGATTATGTGCTCAACAAAACCATCCAACTGTTCCAGGCTCCATGGCAACAGGAGCGGTTTTAAGTAATGAGTAAGTGTTTGGAGTGAAAGGTCGACCACAGGTATGTGCACCATTAATGATTGCCAAGATCAGATGAGACAAGGAATGGCCGTAGATCGCCCTTTCGCCAACCTGAACCCATGTACCATCACAGCAGGTACTAAGCCAGAAGGTCACTCTCCTCCCTCCGGTGTCTAGACTCTTAGGCCACTGCCTCTTAGGAAAGGTGTAGCTCTGTCCACAGAAATAGCTCAGTTTTTTAAAGCTAAGATGGCCATACGGATGGTACCTAGCAGTCCATCTCAGGCTGTGCCACACCTGCTGGCAGCCTCTTGACTGCTGACAGCTTGTCCAGCTGAGAGATGTCGGTGGCTGGAAGTGGACCATTTCTCTGCCAGCGCTTAAGTGTAGGCCCTTTGTGCAACTTTAATAACAGCATAATTGTGTAAACTCCCTTGTCAGTCATCAGAGACTTTTACTAATTAGCTGACGGCCAGTGCTACAAGAGGAAAATACCTCCTCAGTTGAAGCAAAGTTCTGCCTAACCTCAGCATGAAAACATATCAAAGCACACAAGGGACTTTAAACTGCTTGCCATCTTTTTTTTTTCTTTGCTAAAAACTGCCCGAGATGCTTTGGCAGTGCTGTCAAAATGGCCATTTAATTTGGGCTCCTCGTTGGACTGTTTTCCACTGGTCTGTTTAGAAACGTGAAAGAGATGATTGCACATTAAATCTTTTTTATTCTTTGGATGCTAAATATCTAAACATGAATAACAAAAGAGTAGCAGAGTTGGGTAGTTCAATTTACTCAAGGGGGGGTTCGAGGGGCGTTCTGGCCTAAAACTATAGATTAATATGTAATTTTCTGTATTGTGTAGTATTCTGTAGCGCAGCACTCTATCCATCCGTCTTGAAGAATGACCAATTTTATATTGTTTTTTGCTTTCATTCACAAATGTTCTCTCACCACAATACCCAGCATGCATCACGCAAATAAATCACTGGGAATCCCTGTGGTGTCACCTGATCGTGAAGGCTAGCATATCCACTGATCTATAGACTAATACAACCAGCTAGCAACAGTGTTACTCTCACCCTGGTTCTTGAAGGGTAAAAAAACAGATCTTCCTTCTTCACTCAGCACAAAATGGGCACCAGTTTGTGGCCAGAGAAAAGAAGACAAAATGAGGTAAAGTGTCTAGACACCCTCCCTTGCTATCTTTAGCTTTTAGCATGTTGTCCTCCTCATCTGATGAGTCATTTCGGTCGTTTGAGTTATTCATTCTCTCCACTGTAATGATGCTTTGAAGACAGTTACTACAGTTACACAGCTGCAATACGATATTCGGCTTCCTAGCAGTAACATTAGCTATCTGCTTTCCTTATGTATCCACCACCCAAGGAAAAAAAAGCATTTCAAAACACCCTGTTCACCCAAAATCCAACGCTCCGGAGCAGCATGCAGCTCTTGTACTGCCCTGTTGCAGCTCCACAGCAGAATTAGATATTTAGGTGAAAATAAAATAATTCTCTTTTGCAGTCAAATCAAGCTCTGCTGATCGTTCTAACACAGTTTTAACTATAACTGGTCTTAAACGCTGGAGTTAATGAATAACTGCTAATTCACCAACCTTTAACCCTGAAAGCAACGCAGACAACAATCTCACCTAGCTAGTAGCTAACGAAAAGGCAAAGAGAAAAACTTCAGATGTACATCAATAATTTGGACACAAATGGACTTTTATAAGCGATACAGCTGGTTTCCTTATATGTTTAATCTGCACGAAGAAACGCTAAAAAGTTGCGAAGCTGAAGTCAGCTTCTTGTTTGAATGTTCCTGTTCCACCTTAAATGGTGTAGCAGTTACATTCTGTCGCCTCAGGCACCATTTAAGGTGGAACAAAAAAAATCGAACAAGAATCTGGCGAATGAGAAGATGACTTCAGACTCATAAAAGTCAAACTATAAGAGATATTTTACAAGTAAATATTCTACTTTTGAGGAAAAGTCTCCTGCTGGAGACGCGAGAAATATCTGAGCTAAAGTTTCTGGACCTGTTTTTTGCTAACCTACTTCTCCTTGAGTCATTATTTTCTGTGAAGTAAGAGTATCTCTACTTGAGAATGGGTTTCAGCTACTCTGCCCGCCTTGGCATAGTATTAGATGTACTCTTCTAATAGTAGACAGTACTGTGCATACCGTGCATTTGTTTGGCTTCTCCCCAGAGTGTACCCTCATGTGGATTAGAAGTTTGTAACGAGCATTGAAAGGCTTGTGTCTCCTTGGACATCCTGCCCAGAAACAGGTGAAGTCCTCTCCTTTTCGCTGGTCCACGTGCAGCTTCTCAATGTGCTTGACTAGCTCCTCTTTGTGGCTGTAGCTGGCGCTGCAGTCCAACCACTGGCAACAGTGTGTACCAATAAAGTCATCGACTTCCCCCTCTTCTTCCTCTAGCATAGGGCATAGAGCTTGGGACTGTCCCAGAACACTGGGATTGTCCATACGAGGCACAGAGTGTAGCTCTGCAAGGTTCTGACCATGCCCCAGGTGACCACCAGGTGATCGATGTACATGGTGTGAGTAATATGGTGGCGGAGGACCCCTAGGAGGGCTAGGAGCCTTGACAATGGCTGCCATTGCAAACTGGGGATGTGTAGAGTTTGGCAGGTTATTATAAGGGACATGTTCTGCTGTTGCAATGATGCTAATCTCTTGTTCAGGTAGAAGCTGATGTTCCACTACCAGATTAGTCCCTCCTCTTTGGCTGTCATGTGCACCCCCTTCTTCCAATCTCTGCATGCAGGCGTTCACTCTGTCAGGGGGGTGGTGGTTAGAGGTTAAGTCCTGGCCTTGTGAAGAACTGACTTTTGCACTGGAGTTAGCAAAGCTAACATTGGGAATACAGCTTCCTCTGACTCCAAGGAGATGTCCACATACGTCAGACTGCAGGGGTGAACAGGTTGGCTGGGAAGCTGGAGAATTTTGGGAACCAATAATGTAAGCCACCAACGAGGTGGGTGAGGTCCGGATGATGGAGTTCAGGTCAATGCCGATACCATCAGACAAAGGCGAGATGGACAGGGCTCTTTTCTTGCAACGGCCAGAATGGCGGGGGCTGTTGGTGTCCTCCTTAAACAGATAAGCAGGGAGAGAGTTCGGGTTAGAGATACTGGTGGCTCCAGACATGGACGTGCCTGGAGGAAGGTTCAGTAGCTCCATCCCTTCAGCCATCTGACTGACGCTGTTCTGCTCCCCCAGCGGTGGTAAAACACGGTAGCCGTAAGGCCAGTCCAGCTTGCTGCTGCGTATTGACTGGCTCTCTGCGAGGCTGAGGGTGGTGGAGGCCAGGGACTCTCTGGACAGCACGGACCTACACCAGCACAAGTCCACAAACAACTTTCATAACCAGAACATTAAAAAAACGCTTGTGAGTGTCATTTTTTTGCTAGTTTGTTTGACAGCTTGCATCCTCAGGCCTTTTGGACTAGTTTACCTGGCATCTGTGAAGGGTACAAAAAGGCCCAGAGAATGAGGAGGGTAGTGGCCGGCAGAGGACTGCACAGTCGCTGTAGACACCGGGCTCAGACTCTGGACCACCATAGCACTGCTCGTCACCTGGAGGTTTGATCTGCCACATTGTCCCAGTAGTTTTCTATGAGAACCTGTAAAGCAGTAGAGCATGGGGTCATCAAATCTGGCCTGGAGGGCCCTAGGACAGTTTAATGGTTTCAGTGCTCTTGATTCAACTAATCAATAATACATCTTAGAATATCAGGCATGCTGTATACTCAGATGTTATTCAGTAACTACATGGACTATTCTCAAATTGTAGAAGTGTATAATAAAGGTTTATACACACTGGTAGGTCCTGATTTAGCAGGTGTATTTGAGCAAGAACGTGCAGAAGAACCGATAACCTTTGTAGTGGGGGAGCAGTCATTTGTCATTTTTCTCATTCGATTCTGACAAAATTTATTTATACATACCCTATTCTTCCCTATCAAGATCTATGCATTCATTTTCTTTACACTTTACACACTGCAAATTGTGTACACTTGTCTGTGTTACCACAGATTAATGATTAAGAATTCAGACTATAACAGAGGAACCCATTTGCTCTTTGTAAGTTAATATTAAACTTCACACTGTTTGAATAAAAGGAAAGCATCAAGAGCAATATCCTTTTTAAAGCCATGCTCAAGTCGTTTAGTGAACTACTAGCCTAAATAATGTCACTTTGTGCCATATAGCATTATTATAGGACTGCTAACACCTTTTTCTATTAAAGCACAGATTGTGTCACACTGCCAGCATATTAATTCACTAGTAATCTCCATTCTAGACTCAGCTGGCCTTGCTGCCAGATTTATGTTCCAGACATATATTTCTCCCATTTCATCTACAAAAACCTGTTGCTGACAGAGTTATAAAACTGTCTTCTCCATATAGAAACATGCCTTTGTCTTCCTTAAAAGAAACACATGAATACTCATGAAATTCCCAAACCTGTGGAGCTTGGAAACACTTTCTGCTCTGTTAATTACTAATGAGTTTTCTTTCTCTCCTTTGCCTGAGCCATGGCTCGTTTAGGAGCAAGCTTTCTGCTTGGTTAATTATCAAAAAATATGAAAGAAAGGGTTTCAGGGAGAAGACAAGGTAGGGGCCGTCGGACAATATTGAAGTGAAGCGAAGTATGAACTCTGGTATGTAAATCAACAGCGCGCTTATTCAGAGAAGACAAGACAAAAAGATGTTTGGAGAGAGGTCTTTACAGACATCACCAAAGTGAGATACATTTATTATCTTTCAGCAGGATGGAACAGAGGTGTAGCATTACAGGATTACTGGTAAATGTCAAAGGTATGCTTTTCATTGTGCAACAGGCCTGCACAATAAATCATATTTTTTTTTGTCATCATGGATATGAATGCTATAAACACATTGTCAACAGCCAGAATGGATCAAACTACCTTACTTTGAAGTAAAGTAATTAGTTTGCTTGGAACACAGCAATACAAGCCCAACAAGTGCTTCCCTGTGGTGGGCCTGAACCCTGCTCTGCCAACTTAACAGCTTAACCAAACGGTCATTTATAAAACATGCACATGCATCACTCTAATCTATCCTGAACTACTAACCTGTAAAAATGCTTTAAACATGATTACTATTCTCACTCTCAGTGTTGTCTGTAAAATAAGTAGAGTGTATGGTAAAATGTATAAAGCAGTAATGATCACTGTTCCAACAAACCTGCATCATCATAAGGAACTTTTTAAGGAGTTAACTATATGACCTATTCCATTGAACTGAGTTCAAAATGCAGTCCCACAATAAAGAAACTATTTAAAAAAACAAATTACGTTTTCAAACTTTTGTTATGATCAATTTAACCCCTTAACATTCCAGGCTTATGACATACTAAGGCTTATTATTTTTTATCATTAACTACAGGAACTTCAATGCAGTCTAATGGAGCTTTTCTTAGGTTGTAGAAGTGTGTGACAATGGCTTGGTAGGCAGTTAAACCCAAGGCGTTAATTGCGATAGTAAGAAGCTAAATATATACCAAATCATCATTCATATGGTACTTTCTATTGGGAGGTGTCTGTCCCAAACCCTAACCCCTAAATTTGCCCTGAAAATAATTTAAACTTTTTGTTTCAATGTCATTTTTAGAAATATCTTCTGAAGTGAAGCTTATTTTGATGTATTATGAGTTTAAGTTTTAAATAAAAAAAAGTTTTAGTCAGTAGATGGAGCCTTGTTTTTGCCACACCCCTGCATTTTAGAGCAGGAAGTGAGACTGCATCCCTGTCCCTCATGGCCACATGGGGAACTGTTAGATCCCATTGTTTTGTAGTAAAAGTGTCCCAAAGTCTAAAATCAGGTGGAACATTAAGAACTGTCATTACCCAAACACATATTTTCAGCAATTAGCAAATTTTTTGTGTTTTAATGAAAAATATTATAATTTTATGTGTGTCCAACTGATCAAAACTATCAAAGCTGTTCAGGGCATCCTGCCTGTCACTCGTCTTTCACAGGTTACATATTCTCAACAGGGGGGTGTCATCAGCAAGCAAATAGGCTTTGATGCTTATAAGAGCAGTGCTTCACATCAGTGACACTGTGTGTCCTTGTTCGGCCTACAGTGCACAAAAAATGTGCTTGCAGTTCTGATGTAAGTAACTATTAACGTTTCATTACATTTATTTTGCACAACAGTGAATGGTGTTTTTGTAATTTTGTATTTACTGTGTATTTGCTTACAGGTGAACTAGTTTAATAATAATTTATCACTCTTCATATCGTGATCGCGATATCCAAAAGCTTTATCAATTAATGCATTTTCATGTCCATATCGAGCAGCCGCAGAGTGTGTTGATTTCAGTATCGGCTATCTGTGGAAGTCTGCTAAAGCACACTAGCACCTGTACCTGACAGTGGTCAAAGCATAAATCTTCACACTGTTTTATATGACATATTGAGAGGTGAGGTTTGTGTTTAAAAAGGGCGGGGATGTTCCGTATCTCTCGAGGACCATCATGTCTCATGTTCCAGCTCACTGGGCTGAGAAATATGGAGAGTGCAGTGCACGAGCAAAGGCATGGAGATTGCCCATTTTCTTTGAAACTAGACACTGTTGATGTATTCCTTTTCATGAATTATGAACATTGTCTACACTTGCAAGCAAACACGGTTATATATTTCAAAACAGATGTTAAATGAACAGAGCGAGGAAAAACTTTAGTGTGTGAAAAGTCAGTCTTTGGTGTAAAAAATGTCGCAATTCATTTTCACATTCCTCCATCATGACGGGCTTATAACTCAGAAATGACACACAGTATTTCATCTCCACATGTTATAAACATGTCATTGCTCTGGGAATCAATAAAAGAGTAACTTTATAGAAGGAAAAACATCCTAAACTTATTATCTGTCTTTTTTTGAAATGACTGTTTGTTGATTCATTCTGAAATGTTCATACTTTATAAAAGGCAACATGTTTAAACGGTGTTAAAAAACCCAAATTCTAATAAGAAAACAAAGTCACAAGGTTTCATTTCGACGGTGATGTCATCCAGAGTATTACTGCTTAAAATCAGCATCAGTGGTTACGTTTATTATCTTTAATACCACACTCTGGATGACTGGATCACACTGTACTCGGTTGTTGTGTCATTTTAACTTAGAAATGGCAAATTTAATCTCCACAGCTGACACGCATATCATATTATACACCGTAAACTGATGTGCAGATTTACATAAAATGAACTGATAGATCTACTGACACTTCAGTGACATCATATTAGTGGACATAAAGCAAGCTGGAAGGCGGAGCTTTTATTTTTGTTTTCTTTTCAGCAGTTATGTTCACATCAAGTTAATTATGGGTTATAACCTGTTATCTTCATACTGAAGGTTAGGTTTGGATGCATTTTACAGATATTTATTATTTTAACCATGATGGTGCTACTTTCATGTGTTCATGTGTACCAGGTCAGCCTTAGTTCTGGGCAGGCATCTCAGATACATTTACACAAAACAAGCAGAATCCTTTGAAATAGCTGATTCTGATCATTTTTAAACCAATTGTTTGTTACTTGTAGAGTAAGGTATTAATTAGTGTTCTTTGATATCAATGTACATGCTAACTAAACTGTATAGCACTATGCAAACGCCAGAGACCAACCTTCCTTTATTTCATTCCTAGTCAGAATGGAGTTTTAGTACAAGTTATTAATTTTTCAGGAGATATTTCTGATGTGATTAGATAGAGGATAATCCAGTTGCATAAGAAAAGGGAAAGTCAAAGTAAAATGAGTGAAAAGGAGTTTATTAAAAGATATAAAGAAAATGTGACTCCTAACAACCACCTGCAAGACCAGATAAACCATCAAAACTTTATCCCTATCAGATAAACAGCACTTAAAGCTTTCATCTTTGAGAGATCAGATCTGAAGAAATCACATGTGTTTCTGTCCATTCCTCCACTGTGAGAAGACAACTCAACAGTATGGGTCTGAAAGGATGTGTAGCTGTCAAGAAGAAAAGGAAATAGACAATACAGAAGAAAATTTGCGAAGCTGCTGGTGTTTCTCAGTGTTTCCCAACAATGGACTGACCACGCCAGGGTCCAGACCTCAACATCACTGATGGATCGTGAAAATCACAGTGGGGAAAAGTCTCTCTGTAGAATTCTTTGAAAGAACAGAGGATGAAATAAACCAAAAAAGTTATATTTAGTTGTTGAAGCCTCTGTGTGTTTATGTTTTCTCCTTTTTCCGGGTGCTGAAAAATGAATAACTTGCACTTAATTGCCGTTTTGACTGGAAATTGAATAAATGAAAGGCCTCTGACTTTTGCACGGTACTGTATGTGTAACTAACCCTAAACCTCTAAGCTCTACAAACTTCTGGCTTTTGATTTCATGAACTTATTATTTTTAAATCTATTACCTTATGTGGGTTCACAATGTGAGAAAAACCTTGTATCTCCAAAATGGTAATTAAAAAAAGAAGGTAATAAACAATCTTAACATCTATTTATGTAACTTTCAAACACAAACACCGAATTTCTGTAAGTCCATTGGTCCTGAAATGCTCACACAATGTAAAGGTCAGTTGACCTTGAAACAAATGGCACTGTGTTTGATTCAATTTTCAGTACCACTGCATAGTATCAGCATCAGTGGTTGCGTTTATTACCTTTGATACCACTCTGTAGGCCGCAGGATCTCACCGCACTGGGGTTGGTGGGAGGGACAGGAGGGGACGGTGCTTGTTTCCATGACGACTGCGGAACACTGAAGGTGCTGTTGTGCTTCCCATTGGTCAGCACTTGCCTGTGCAGACTCAGGGCAGGTAGAAGGACTGTGCTTCCAGACATCGAAACTCCAGTGCCAGGGCCTGGGGTGCCATGATGCGAGGAAACCCGCGAGCTACTAGCATGCACTCGGATGTGAGGCACCTGCTGCCCAGTTATAGTCCCCAGAGACTGAGGCATGCTGGAGGGAGAAACCAGGAGGTTGCAGGATTTCCCATTCATTTCCCTCAGTGCTGCTTCAGGCAAATATACCAGTGGGCCAGAGGCATCATGCTGTGAAGACAAAATTACATAGCTAGAATAACACAGAATGGGCTTTCACAAATTATGATTAAATAAATTAATATAAGAACAAAAAGGCATTAAAATGACAGAACTTTAGCATTTTTCCTGTGCACATTAATGCAGTCACACAGGCCTAGCAGTGAAGATGGAGATAAGTGAAGTTCAGCCAGACCTCCATATTACCCTTGACCCATCAGTGCCTGTGATCTTATTTAGATTCGTGGTAAAACTAATATGCTGGTGCAATTTAAACCTCAGGATATGAGAAAAGGAAAAGCCTTTTCATACATGAAAATGAAAAATATGCTTCTGCAAACATCCATGATATTTTAGTAGTTCACTGTCAACACGCAGGGTTTTTAATTATGCTCTGCTTTGCGACATTGAAAGTAACATTTTTCTTAGAACAAGATACAAGCTTATTTATGGTTTTCCTCAAAGACACCCGGTTCATTTTCAGATCAGATTCACCATTGTTCTTGGGATTAGATTTCCAATTCTTCTCCGAATTAGTTTCTCAATCTTTCTTTAGCTCTGCTGGCACTCATAACTACAGAACCTACACATTAGTTTCATTTTAGTTACTGAATAATAATTTTAAAGAAGAACTCAATTATTATAGGGACTATTGTACTCACTTATAATAGGAGTTGCTTGAATAGTTGATTGTAACCAACCATATGTTGCAGATGAGGCTGAAAGAGATTAAAGCTATTCAAAAGTATTCATTTAAGATCATATCTAGATAATAAATATTCCAACACGTTTGCAAAGAGTGGTTTGATGTAAAATGCTCTATTCTAAACAAATGTACTGGGACAGTTTCCTCACACAAAGTTATTACATCCAATCATTACAGAAACTTTACCTGATTCCTGAGACACTGAGTGTGTTTAAATGCACCTATTAATCCGATCGTAATCAGATTTTTGCAGTTATCTGATTATTCAAATGGTAAACAGTATACTCCATTTCTTAGATCAGAGTAAGGTCTAGAAATCCGATTAAGAAATCCGATAAAGAGAGCTGGATTTAAGCTCAGAAATCAGATTTCTAAGGGCATGTAAACTCTTACTCTGATTTCTTTCGGATTTGTCAGTCTGCGCATGTGCGAAACAGATTGTGGTACTGGAAATGAGCAAGCAGTGTTGCCGCAAGATGGCAGGAAACGCTTTTGGAGCGGCTGAAACTAAATTTTAAGGAAATTAAGGATTTAAATATTATTCAACTTCTAGATGCTGTACGTTGATATTTTAGGTAAAGTGGTGCGATGTTTTTTAAAAAAAGCGCTGCATGAAGTTTGAGTTTTACGTTACATTTACGTCACGTCTTCTTCTGCGAGTTTATTGGCTGGTTGTAAAGCAGAAATCTGATTACTGCCTGACTCGTGTAGTTGATCGGATTACTGACAATATCTGATTTTCTGCAGTTATCGGATCATGAAGTGCATATATCATTGTTTTATAACAGTTTGGAAAAGGTTTTGGCCTAAAACATAATTTTTAAAATCCATTTATGGCACAGAGGTGCATAAAGAGGGATGTAAGGTAAAACTATTATTTTTTTTAATTATTTTTTTCAGATTTAGCACATATTTCCTTCATCAACATTACATATAAACATTCTGAAGATGTGTAGGTTTACTGGATGTTGTGGATAGTAAATTAAATGGCTACATTTGTGCTGTAAACATTGTGAGCCCTGGTTCCCATCAGCACCACTTAAAAAAAAATCTAAGCCAGTAACTTTCTCTGGAATGGAGTATTTCACATCAAACCACCCTGAATGACTTTGTTTACATCTCAACCACTGAATTATGGTGATTTTTTATTTTTATTTTTCAACAATTCTTCATAATTAAATGGTTTAAATGTAAACAGAGTCATTCAGGGTGGTTTGGTGTGAAGTGGTGCACTGTAGAGAAACTTACCCACTCATTTCTTTACAGTGGTGGTGATAGGAACCAGACGTCTGAAGAGTTTAATGCCTCTAAGAGCAACATCACAAAAAGCTCTTGCATGAAGTGCCTGATGTCTGACACCCTGTCCTATGATAGTTTTGTGCCAAAGTTTTGGCAGATAATGTATTTTAATCCTTTTTAGTATGTTAATGGCGGAGGGTTGCCTGCAGGGCATTGTAAGGCAAAACAGACCTCAAAGAAAACTTTGTTTTTCAGACTTGCGACTGTTTTACCATCATCAACATTACATATCACAACTCAGATAACACGTGTAGGTTCACAGGTGGTTTTGGATAGTAAATAAAATGGATATATAGACATGGTGACCTCTGGTTCCTATCACCACCACTGTAAAGAAATCCGAGTCTAATTCCCCTTTAACTGTAATGTTTTGGAGAATCAGCACTAGTTTGTTAATCATTTGAACATCTGTAGATGATCTGTAGGGGGTTTCCACACAAAGTCAATCCAAACAAGTTTGAGAAGACTCTGTGAAGACCTTCACATGAGACTGTTTTAATGCTTTAAACAGTGGAAAGTGTCTTCTTGATAGGAGGGTAAAGTTGGCTTATATGGTGCAGTAGTTACGTTCTGGAGCCTGAGGCACCAGAACGTAACTGCTGCAACGTTTAAGGTGGAACGGGAAAATTCGAGTAAGCTGGCTTCATGATGAACTTCAGCGTCCTCTCGTTTTGTTTAGTCTGTCAGAGTCTCAGTCAGTTTCAGTAGAAAAAAGAAAACATAGCTAATATAGAAGTTTCTCCTCAGAAATAGCGAAATGTTCCTCGTGCCTTCGGCCGAGCTGTGAGGTAAAAAGTTTGAGCTGCTCACCTGAGAAGTCTTCAGTGTCGTTAGCAGGAGTTGAGGTGACTACTGGACGCACCTTGGTGGAGATGTGGGGGAGAAGATGCCGCCGACAGCGAGTTATAGATGTCAGACATGGTATTACAACGTTATCTGAAAGAACGGAAGGATTTTCTTTTAGTGGAAAGAGAAGAAAAAGTTGTTGCGCTAACGGCGCTGAGTTGAAGTTAGAGTTGGAGCTCGTGCTCTCCACCTTTGCGTCACTACAGGAGCGCGCGGTGTTGCCAGGGGGCGGGGGGAGGGCGAGGGGGTGTCCACTCTCTCTACCCTTTACTCCCTCTGCCCTTTTACGACTTGAAAAGATGTCAGTTTTTCGGCAATTCATGAAAAACTCCATTAATGCTAAATTACCTCCTTGTTTCTACGCTCATTGTCCATTTTATCAGCTCCACTTACTATATAGGAGCACTTTGTAGTTCTACAGTTACAGACTGTAGTCCATCTGTTTCTCTGCATACTTTGTTAGCCCCCTTTTACCCTGTTCTTCAGTGGTCAGGACCCCCACAGGCCCACCACAGAGCAGGTATTATTTGGGTGGTGGCTCATTCTCAGCACTGCAGTAACACTGATGTGGTGGTGGTTTGTAAGAGTGTGTTGCGCTGGTCTGAGTGGATCAGACACAGCAGTGCTGCTGGAGTTTTTAAACACCTCAGTGTCACTGCTGGACTGAGAATAGTCCACCAACCAAAAATATCCAGCCGACAGCGTCCTGTGGCCACTGATGAAGGACCAGAGAATGACCAACAACAAACTGACTAAAAACAACAGGGTAAAAGGGGGGCTAACAAAGTATGCAGAGCAGGTGGACTACAGTCTGCATTTGTACACCTATATATATATATATACATACATATATATATATATATATATGTATATATATATATATATATATATATATATATATATATATATATATATATATGTGTGTGTGTGTGTGTGTATATAAATTTTCTTTTCATAATTCACATCAACCCATGTAACCTTTGGTGTAAATGTAAAGAGCGTGCACATTTGAAATGTAATATTGGATCATTTTCCTCAGTAAATAAACAAACAAGTCTAATATGTTTGTCTCATTTCTTTAATTTGGTTCTCTTTATCGACTATTAGGTTCTTAGCTTTTTCCAGCCTAGACATTGCCAATAGCACGTTATGGTCCATTTTTTGGACCATATTGCCAGATTTATGAGTACCTGCTGCGTGCAGCGACAGATATAACCTATACTTACCAGCCTAATGCATTTCCTCATGCCATCCCCCTTTTCTCAAAATGCCCTCAAAGTATCCCTCAAACTGATGTGAGACAAAGTAATTGCACGCTGTTTTTTTATGTGACGTTACAGATGAAGTGCTGTTCATTGTGAACAGGACAGTCAGGTGTATTACAGCAGGCAGGTCTGGCAGCTTCCCTCTCTCTGTCCGGCGCGCGGCTGTGCTGAGCTCTGAACGGGCTGCAGGCTGAGCGGCAGCGCTGTGTCTGATACAGCTGCTGCCTGCTTTAATGGCGCTTTGCCTTGGCCGCCCGCGAGCAGTGCGCGCGCCGCATTGTGAACGGCCTTTCTGCGCGCGCTTCGAGTGTTTGCCCAGCGAGCGCTGCTCCGTGTTGTCATGGCAACGTCATTGTTTATTCTAGGGCGACTCGGGAGGACCTGCTCGGCAAACGGGCAAGAAAACTGTGAAGAAGCGGCCGCGTGACTCTAATGGAGAGGAGCTCGACACGAACGAAGGCCAAAAAAGTGGGCTGATCCTGTGACGGGCATGGACTGACCGCACCATGGGCTGTTAAACCCTGAAAGCTTGATGGCCGTGTTTGAAATGAAGGGTGGCCTCTAGTGGAAAGTGCTGGGCAGACGTCCCTCCAGCTACAACTGAGGGTTTAGATTACTAATTCAGTGTCACTTTAGAAGGGCTGGATTGCTGACCAGGCCTTGGGGGCCAGTGCCCAGGGGCCTCTGAGTGCCAGGGGCCCTGAGGGGGCCTTGCAGCACAAGAATGGAGGTGGGCCGCATACCCGGGACCATCCGCAGCAGATGTAAACATTAACTTACATGAGCGAATAGTCCCTGAATAGCCTACATACATATGACTGAATAAAGCAAACCAATGAAGAAGTGTTATCTGCCCCTCAGATTTTATACTGTTATCAATTCAAGGGATTTTTATTTTTGCCATTCAAATGGGATGTTTTGACTTAGCTTGGCTTGACAGAAGAAGAGAAGATCACAAATATCTCCACATGTTGTGATATAGACGCAATAATGAGGGTAATTTTGTTTATTGTATATAACAGTTATAACATATAACATCATTATATGCTTCTGGCAGCAATACGTCAAAATATTGACGTAATATCTCAAAATAATGTATATACAGATAACACGAATAGGCTTCCATAACACTTTAATCACAGTTTTCACATTTCCCCAGATGTCTTGGAAGACCTTGATCCATCTATGCTCCTTAGCAGTGCCGAGTCACCCACCCACCCGCTGTGTTATGTGTCAGGATTCACTCAGTAGCAATTATTAAAATAGGCAGGTTTACCTTTTCTGCCTCCATATCATTTCTTACAACAGTCAGTGAATGATGCTGCAGACCAGGCCTGTGTGGTCACCACTACAGTAACTACTTACTGTATAAGAAAATGTTAGATTTCTATAGCCCTGGGTAATACTTCTGTAATAAACTTGTAGACTATAGTAATTGCATGAATTTATTATAAGATTGTTATGAGAATCCTGTAGAAATTACTGCATTATTATCACAGATTGGGGTGTCTAAACATTTCAATAGCTAGTGAACTATTAGCGTTATGTTTTCTGAAAAGATAAAACATTCAGCAGGTTGTTAGCTTTATGTTAAAAAGACAAAACAGCTACTTACATATTAGCTTTTTACATGTTCCCAAAAAGGCGAAAACAGCTAGTTAATTGTTAGCTTTATGTTTTCCAAAGAGACAAAACCGCCAGTTACTTGTTAGTTTTTTTTTTATTTTTCCAAATAGAACAGCTAGTTACTTGTTAGCTTTATACACTTTTCCCAAAAAGACAAAACAGCTGTTACATGTTAGCTTTGTTTTCCAAAAAAACAGCCATTATTTGTTAGCTTTACATTTTCCAAAGAGACAAAACAGCTAGTTACTTGTTAGCTTTACATTGTCTACAAAGACAAAACAACTTGTTAGCTTTGTTTTCCAGAAAGACAAAACAGCTAGCAATTTGTTAGCTTTATACATTTTCCCAAAAAGACAAAACAGCTGTTACATGTTAGCTTTGTTTTCCAAAAAAACAGCCTTTACTTGTTAGCTTTATGTTTTCCAAAAAGACAAAACAGCAAGTGACTTGTTAGCTTTACATATTTTCCCAAAAGGGTAAATTACTTGTAAGCTTTACATTTTTCAAAAGGATAAAACAATGTGTTAGCTTAACCAAAAACACAATTAGCAAGTGACCTGTTAGCTTTACATTTTAGCACTTTGTGAGTATAAATGGAAAAACTGTATTCTTTAAATAATTCAGTGAAAAGAAATTCTTCACACTGGTGGTCTCTAAATCTCCTTTTGCTCTATTAGCCTGAAATTGCTAGCTACTTATATGTTGTTACATCTGCATAGCAGTCAGTAAGAATCATATGTTGTTGTGGGTAATACTTTTTTTTATATTTTATTTTTTAAAAATTACAATAACTTAAGAAAACAGAAAAGCTACAAATGGGAAGCTGCCGAAAAATACATTCTCTCACTGGCTGAGGGAGTGGAGGTTTTGCTGGGCTTATTCAAGCCTCCAAGCCTCCCACTTTGGACAGCCCTGCTATAGGTCTGTCATAGAGGTCTATTTTTATGTTTAAGCTTCTGAAATTTGGAAGGATATTAGCCTGTTTCCCTGTTGCAGTGGGCTACGTAATATTTTCACAAAAAAAAAAGAATCCCGGCCATGCTTTTTTAGGGCTGACACTAAAAGCCTTGACCAGCAGAGTGCAGTATAAGTACAGAAACAAGCCGCATCGGACGGGTACCCTGTGACCACCTCATCACCTGCTAAAGTCCACACATACCTCAGCAGGGGATTATGGCACTGAGATTGTGTTAGATAGGGAGAAAGGGTGGGAGACAGAGAGATTGAGGTGTTATGTTGGTTGCATTATTTCTGAAAGTGGCCAGTCATCTTGCCTGTCCATTCCCTGTGTTAATGAAAAAGGCCATTGGCAATTTGTCCCAGAGTTCTGGGCATCTACACCAGCAAAATGTGGGCTATAATTATCCAACTCTCAAGGTTCTTTTATGGTCCGCATCAAATGAAGATGGTCAGTCTGAACTATTGTCTGCATCAAATGCAAATTGCCTATTTCAACCAAAGGGGTAACTAATCAATTTCATTAATTTCTTCATTTCAGTCTCTTTCATCAGATCTGAGCCGTAAGCCCCTTTAGATGTGGTTCTGATAGGACTGTGGGTTGAGATTTGTAGGAAGGCTACAAAAGACATCGTAGTTACCCAGAGACGAGCCACAAATAGCACTTCAGACTGACCTCTCAATTGCCTCGCTTGCTGTCAGCTAAGCTTGTGCCCTTTCACAGCCAAAGGTCTCTTCCTCATTACCTGCAGGCCTTGTAATGTATGTCTCCTGCAGATTTTCTACAGGCACCAAAAACAGGCCTTGAAGTAACAGTACCGGGTTTCAAAGTGATTAGCAGTAAGAGCAACCTCCGCTTTTAAAGGTTCAGAGAGCTTAATTTCTCTCGAGCATGGCTAATGTCACCCGCTGGGTGAATGTCAAGGTAATGAGGAGACAGAGCAGCAGCGCTCTGCCCGCCGCATGTTCCAGCCACCTCATCAAGGAAGAAACGAAGCCGGAAAAAGAGTTCCACTTCTTCACCTTTTTTCTTTGTCAGTTAGGTGTCAACGAACACCTCCATCATGACCTCCATAATAATGAATGTCATACATTGTATGTTCAAAATTATCTAGGCTCCTTTAATTAGTGAATTCAGGTGTTCAGTTACGCACACGCAGTACGTACACTACTGTGCAAAGTCAGAGAGCACCCTCCATTTGTTCAATTTCCAGTCAAAAGTACGAGTTGTTCATTTTTCTGGAGATTTCTGAGGAGATCAGATAGATAAATCCACCTAGTAGACCACCAAAACGGACACCATCAGATTAACAGCACTTAAAGCTTTCATCTTTGAGAGAGAGGAAAAAATCAAGCTCCA